GAAGGAAAGGGTCTGAAAGTGAACGCTGGAAAGTCCAAGGTCATGGTGTCTTCTGCAGATGCAGGTGAGACAGAGAAAACAGGAGAATACCCCTGTGGAGTTTGCTATACAGGTGTTGGAGCAAACTCAATCAGATGCACCAACTGCAGGAGCTGGGTCCATCGCAGATGCAGTGGAATCTCCGGTAGCCTGCAAGCAGCAAGTAAGACATTCATCTGCAAGAGATGCTTAGGTTTAATCTCACAGAAAGGTACCAGTGGGACTCTGACAGGTCTGGATCTCCATGGAGAGATGTATGAAAATGTGGAGAAGTTCTGCTACCCGGGAGACATGTTAGCTGCCAGAAGAGGCGAGACAGCAGCTGTGACTGCAAGGATCCAAAGTGCTTGGAAAAAGTTCCGCGAACTCTCTCCCTTCCTCACCTCAAGGGTGACCCCTCTAAGAGTGAAAGGGAAGGTGTATGATGCATGTGTAAGAAAATGCATGACATACGGGAGCGAAACATGGGCAATGAAATCGTCTGGTGTACAGCGCTTGGAAAAGGTTGAGATGAGGATGGTGAGGTGGATGTGCAGAACATCACTACATGAAAGAACGAGGAATGAAGTACTCCTTCAGTCAGTGGGCCTGATGGGGGTAGCAGAGGTTATGAGGATTAACAGGCTTAGATGGTATGGACATGTGGCTAGGAGAGAGGCAACACACTGGCTCCAGAGAGCTTTAAATTTTTGAGTCACCGGAAGAAGGCCTCGTGGGAGACCCAGAAAAACCTGGAGGGAAACTGTAGAAGAAGATGCCAAAACATCTGGTATCGCTCACATGGACCCCACAGACAGGAAAGCTTGGAGAGCAGCCATTAAGGCAATGAAATGTCCAACCCCACAAAGTGGGACAAATGGACTCTAAACGCTGATGATGATGATGATGATGAGAGGAGTCTCTCTCTACTTTGAAGTTTGAATTAAATAAATGGATTGACTCGGTTTATGTGACTTGCTTCCCTATTCTCTTTTCATTTTATCATTTTGTGTGGGTAACGTAGGTTAGAAAACCAGTATATATGTTACCACTTATCCTTAATGATTTGCAAAAACATTACACAATTACAAATTAACCAAGTGCACTTTACTCACCACCATCAATATATAGTCTCTGCTAGGCAGAGATTATCAACCACTCGTTTCCTCCATGAGTTACGTGGTGGGTCTTGCTCTTGCAAATATGCAAGACTCAGGTAGTGTATGTTCTACTGTCATGACTTGTTCCAGCTCCAGCTGATGAGCTTCCAAACCCAGCTTCTCACTGTAAATGTCTGTGTTTGGGCGCAGTTGTTGGTGGTGGAATGTCGAGGCACACATTGGTCTCGGGTCTGCCGAGAGCGGATTCAACATTTTGCCTTTTTTCATGTCGTTTCTTTGTCCTCGCAATCATTGCTTTGTTTGTAAATCGAGCATAACAATTCCTATGATATCCATGGGAGGTTGGTCGAGTTGTCCGTAGCAATATATCACGCACCCATGAAATCATGGGCGCAGCCGGCAGCCATCTTATATGTCTGAAGAAGGCGTCTCCCACATACTGCACGCTGATTGGCTCAAATCACATATACATCATTATACAAAGGTTCATGGGACGGATACGTCATACACGCGAAGCCGCTCTGAACGGTAAAAAGCGCCAAATTTGAATTGTGGTTTAGAGCTGCAGACACGAACATTTTGACTTATTATTCCATTATCTATCAAACACAATGAAGTTGGCTTATTTCTCAAGGATATGCCACAACGCTGAACGATAACAGGGGGACGTGCAAGGGCCTGTAAGTGTTTGTTTGGTTGGTTTAGTTAATTGCGATATGTGTGTTTACTATTAATGTTCATCACTGATACTCTCACATACTAGCCAGAACTCTGGCATTGCATTTATCTTGTCTACATAAGTTTTCTCGTCTTTTGTCTAATCTCCCTCCACATTTGTGCAATTCAGTGGTTTTAGATCCTGTTCAAGGTTTTCTTAGAACTCTTAAGAAACAGTGTGTTTTTCCCATCAATTATCTCCTAGTGGTGTTTTCGACTTCCATGTTTCCTCCAACCTTGGTCAACTCCTAATTTACACTCATTGTACAATTTCATGTCAATTCCATACATTTTCCATAATTGCCGTAATTCATAATAACAGGTTTTTTTTAATTTTTGTTTGTATTCTTGTTTTGTTTTGTATTGCTATCATTGTCTTAGATTGTCAGCTTTTTTTGTCCATTTTTATACTGTTTTTATCCTGTCTTTTTACATTTTCAGCTCTAATAATGTTTTCATGTACTGTATTTAAGTATTGTTTTGTATATATATATTTTGTTGGTTTTTATTTATTGCTTGTTTCGGTTGTTGTCTTGTGTCGTTGTGTGCAACCCTGTGTTGTCTTGTCTTATGGGGTCCAAACTCACCCAAGTGTGTGATTTACCTGTAATCGTGGAGCCCTGGCCATGATCAGATCCCTAACATCAACCCATGAAGATCTCGCAAGAGAAATGAACATTGTGATAAACCGACCCGAAAAGATCCCTTCCTGGCTTACACGTGGTGTGACAATCTTGCTATACAAGAAAGGTGTCACAACAGACCCAAACAAGTCAGGTGTGTTTACAAACACAATTGCCCCGCAATCGTGACTGTTCCCATGACATAACACCACTCTTTGAACATCAACTTACATGTATTTGAGTCACATGGAACGTTCATTGACATCATTAGTGTTTTCTGTAGGTTTTATACAAATTAATTCCTATGATCTCATAATAAATACAAGATTTCTATTGTTTTAGCCACTGTGACCCTGACCCTTGACCTTTCAGCCCCCAAGAACAATTCACAAACCAAATTTGAAGTTCACATGTAAAGTATTTCTCAAGTTATCGCGCTGACAAAATTTCTTTTGTTTTGGCCACTGTGACCTTGACCCTTGACCTTTCAGCCCCAAATGCAATAGGCTTCTTAGGATTACCAAGAACAATCCACAAACCAAATTTGAAGTTCATATGTTAAGTATTTCTCAAGTTATCGCGCTGACAAGATTTGTCAGGACACACACACCCACACACGTGTGTAAATGCCGGCAATCATGGACGCCCCATTGTCCCTAATCCTCTTTCCTTTGTTTGTAGCGACAGCTCTCATTGGTTTTGAACACGATTTGAGATCGTGGACGTTCAGTCAATCGTGGACGTATTGTTTGCGCCCCAATTCTTTTGTCCTACGTCCACGATTGCCGGTGTTGACATACTCACCCACACACCTGTGTAAACACCGGCAATCGTGGACCCCCTATTGCCCCTAATCCTCATTCCTTTGTTTGTACTTTAACTTTTTAGCAACAGCTCTCATTGGTTTTGTGCATGATTTGAGATCATGGACGTTCGGTCTATCGTGGACCCTTTGTTTGTGCCCTAACCCTTTTGTCCCTAGTCCACGATTGCTGGTGTTTACACACGCATACACTCTTGAATTACTATACTCCCGAGGACAGTACTTTGTGTTTCCCTTTGTTCCTTTAATATAACACTCTTCCATAGACTAAGCACACGAACCTACTACAGAGGACCGTTTTTGGTTTCACAGTGATAACTCATGGATGCCTATGTTCCCCAACCCTAACCCTGACCCTAAACCTAAACCTAACCCTGGGGATTTTGGGGAACATCGGGTATATCCCATGTCGGATGTGTGTAATGAACCTTGATACAATGTACATGTAGGTAGCTGAACCTTAGAGAAAATGAATGAGTTTGTTTTTGCATTTAATAGGGGATGTTGAACAATAGAGGACAATAGGGTCTCCAATTCCCAAGAGGGCCCTATTTGGATTCGTGTACAAAACATATGGGAGGTCTTCCTAAAAAAGTATAAACAGAAGTGGGACAATGTTTTCATTTGAAATGTTGCAATACCACATCCAATTTGGCCTTCGGGCCACGATTTTTGTGGCTTAATAAACCAATCATTCATTCCTAGTTTTCCCACCATATAACACGAACAAGACTTGTCATCATGTATCAACTTAAAAACTTGGTATTTTGGTTAGTCTGGGGATCTTCCAGAAACCTGTAATTTGTTTACCCCTTAGGCCCAAGGTCAAGTTTATTATGATTCAAACAACAACAAAAAGTTTTCTCAACATACACATGAACATGTATTACTAAAGCAACTTGAGACTTACCCTGTAGTATGTGTATGTACAGCTCCATTGGTTGTTCTTAGGATAGTCACTTTAGGACCCAGTAGGCCAAAATGTTCTCCTTATTAAAAACAAAATAAAAAAAAGAGATGATGTCATCATGAAAACTCAAGCTTATTCATATAACCATATTTTTTTCAGGTTTTGATTATTCCAAAATTCTTATTTCCATGTATGCCTTCTTCCAGGCAATATGCTCAAAGGATTCGCTTTTGAGAAATGTCTTGCTTAAGACTGAAAATATTAGGCAACTCCAAATCCAGTCATTTTGCTTAAAATTATGTACATGACTTCTCAACAGAAAAGCGACAACATTTTTTTTATTCTTGGGTCATAGGCATCAATACAGTACATATATAGTCTAAAGAAACAATGACAATGACAGGTAAGTAGGTATCATGTCCTGGGAATAGTCATGGTTGCGGGGCATTTGTGGGTTTTTTTAACACTACTTTTTCTTGTGGTTTGCCATCTTCCTTTGTTTCTTTGTTCTCTCATCCACCCTCCCCTGCATCTTTCCACACCTTTCCCACCTAATCCTCCTTTTGTGTTTCTTCTTTCAGCCCTGCATGTTTGTGTGCACCCCCATGTTAATGTATGTACCTCTGTCATTTCTGTTTTAGCCTCTGAAGAAGAACTTGCTAAGTTCGCAACGTCAGGCCACATTAATTTTAAGATTTATATATTTCAGGTCCATCCAGTCAGTAAGCAGTTTGCAGCAGTTTTACTTTTTTTCATGTTACTACTTTTTCTTGTTACTATTGTAACAGGTATTATCCAACAGCGGAAGATATGGAAACTTACAGGAAATTCAAAGACAGACAGGCAGAGCTTGAACATGCAGACCAATTCATGTTGCAGCTTTGTGAGATTCCCCATCTTAAAACAAGGTTGGATGTGTTGATGGTCATCAATGAACTCCCTGTTCAATATGAAGACCTTGCTCCGGTGCGTATCATTAATAAGAACTCTTTTAACAATTATTTTATTAACTATACCATTGAAGCAAATACTTAAGCTGCATTGATTGGGATGAGTTTAATATTCACATGTAATTATAGAAAGAAACCATTTCTTTCACAAGGTGGGTTTTACTGTCTTTTTGGCTTTTCCACATAGTTGCAGAAAAGCCTTTTTTTGTCTGATTTGTGTGTGCCCTGCTAGCAAAGCCGAAGAAGCTTGCTGTATCTGCCTTGTGCTTGCATATGCCAGGATGTATACATGCACGTGTGTACCACACTTTTGGTTTTACAGCAAAAACTCAAGTTGGATTTGATGTATGTCATGAAACATGAAAGGTATAGCTTGCTAGTGGTACCTTATAGAAGCTCAGTGAGTTTGTACCCCATAAGACAAAGACCAAGGCAATATGGTTAAAACGATAGAAAGGGTTTTCCCAACAAAACTTAAAAAAAAAACTTTTTATTTCAACTTAAATCTAATTACCTGTAGGTGGGTTAGTCTAGGGATCCCCCTGATTTCTGTTACTTTTGGACCCCATAGGCCAAGGGCCAAGGTCATTGTGGTTAAAACGAAGCATTTCTCAAGAAAAAAAATGGCATATCGAATAGAAACTTAGTTGTTGTGTTATAGATAAATATTTTGTTGATGTCACAATGACGTCATCATGGCATTTATATAGATTGTTGAAGTTGCACAGTTTATCGCCACATCTTAGTAATACAACCAGCTAAATTTGCAATTCCTTTTGTAATAGGTTTGTTAGGTGATATATATTTGGACAAAAATGTGAGAAGTGTATGATGCAGTTGACATTTGTTTATGTCATTTCTTGAAGCAAGCACAATTTTCTTTTGGATGTTTGATGATTTAATTTCCACATTACTTGATTTGAGAAGTAATCTCTGAAAGTAAAACAAATTACTTGTTGATAGATTCCCAAAATTATTTTGAGTTTTCTTTGATTTTCTTTGATTGATCTGAAAGTTTACAAAAAGGTTTGCCATTTTTGTACAAAAGACTTGTGGCGACTTGAGTCTAAGTAAGGTGGAATTTTATTTAAGAAAGAAGAAGTTGGAGAAGGGGTAGATATGTCCTTTTGGATCCCTTTCGTCAAGTCATCTTCATTCTCATTGCTCAAGCATTGAGAGTAAAAGTCTTCATGTTTCATTTAGCATCAAGTCAACAAATCCCTCCCAACTATATCCGTCAAGTCAAGCCAAGTCAAGTCTCCAAGTCACGTCAAGTCTCCAAGTCGCGTCAAGTCGCGTCAAGTCAAGTCAAGACAAGTCTGCAACTACTCATCAAGATAGGCCCCCTTAAGTCTTCCCTTTTATATTCACTGTATAGTTGTATTATTTTGTTTATTAATATGATATTAGAACCCTGGGTTTTCATTTTATAATATAGGTATTCTCTATGTGAGGATATTTATATTAGCATACAGCGTATGAAATTTTTTCTCAATTTAGCCAGAAACGAATAAAAGCCACTGGTTTATAGCAAAATATAAATAAAGCGTAACCGGTAAAAATCAATTGTGTCGGCTTGAACGCATTGACAAATCATGCCCGCTACACATGTTTTGAAAACGATGCATCAACCAAAATGCAGTGAAAGGATAATATCAATAAATGTGGCTGGCCAACGCTGTTTGTATCTTATCCACAGCTATTGTGAATTGTCGTGCCAGCTCTCCTGCGTCAGGCTGGTTTGGTTGGTAGCGTGCCGTCCCGATGGTATCCTATCCCTGCAGTGGTGGGCCACAGCACCAGGCTATCCCCGCTTCTCGGTTGACCGGATCAGCCAGTAGTAGTCAGGGCAGTGGAATGGGAGTGGGAACCGGGAATCGGAATGTGGAGTCGTAGGAAGTGGGTTGAGTCGGAATGTGGGTGGAGTAGGAATGGGGCGGAATAGGGGGAGTCGGAATGTGGGTGGAGAAGGAATGTGGCGGAATAGGCGGAGTCGGAATGTGGGCGGAGTCGGCGGAGTCGGAATGTGGGTGGAGCAACTAATCTTCCTTGGGACTTTGCCCTGGACTTGGTCCTAAGTAGACCCTATACCCTAAGACAGACTAGTAATTGGTGAACAGAAACAGTAATCAAGTACGGTGGTCATGCATCATCATCATCCGTCATGTCATTCCACTCAATCAAGAACCCTAGCAATTATTCTAATCATTGGAGAATCAAGCAATCAAGTGACTAAATCCTAGCCCTGCAACTCCTTTTGTAGACTTTGAGCCCCATAAGCTAGTGTGCAACTTCTCTTTGCCATACAACAGTGCATAAACTCAATTGACCAATCAGAAACAAGGATTCCTTATATGCAAAGTGTGGGTGATTCACAGTGTGCTAGTGTATTTAAAACATACAGTTGGTGACTTAATTCCTATTCCGTCACACTATCCTGTTACTTTGTATGGTCTGTCAATGGAAAGTGAACTGCGGTTGCCACCTCAACGGAACTCTGCAGAATGTTGCCCAGACAATCAGGCAGCAGGGGTGAGGAGTGTTCTATTGGGCCATGAAGCAATAAAAAAGGAAGGAGTTCGAATGGCCCGCCAAATCCCCTTAAGACATTAGCAGCCTCCGGATCATACTCGGCATAAAACGTCTTGACAAGGTTACTAATACCATGCTGTACAACATCAGCCAGCAACAACCATTAATACACGCCATCCAAAAACGACAACTCAGATGGGTTGGTCACATCCTACGGAAGCCTATAGGCAAGCCAGTTAACATCTATGCTCTATACTCCCCATCTCATGGCCAATGCAGAGGAGGTCGTCAGCGCCTACTCTACCCAGAGTACATTGCTAGACTATTGACACAGGATTTTCTGCTCTCCCCACTAGAGATCCGGAGACTAGCACAAAACAGAGATGAATGGGGAAACCTTGTGTCCGTCTGCTGCGCAGTCGACTGATGATGATGATGATGTGACCATGCACAAACCCAGTGGAGGTTTTTCACAGCACGAGCAGATTTACGACTGCGAGAAGTGCCTTTGTGCACAGACTCCCATGCCGCACATCGCCTAACTGGAGTAATGAAATCTCCACAGCTACTTATTACTAGAGTAGCCATTGGTAAACAAACGAATGAAGACATGCGCAGTAGATTCCTAGCCATCTGTACCATGCGCCATCTTTATCGATGAATGTAACGAAAAATTCCAAGCTTGCCTGTCTTTTTTGCATCAAAATCTGGACCTTCCTTTGCCCAGATTCAGTTAGTTTTATATGAACGTGTAGACAGAGAAATGAATTTTTATGAAATGATATTTATATGAATAACAACAATTCCAAAAGGTTCAGGAAGACCAATCTTCGTCAGAGCATAAATGGAAGGTTTTTCTAACGATTTGCAAGTGGCATTAAAGTGTGCGGTAGCATACGGGAATGTTATGACGCGACAAAAATTGATCATTTTAAGAACTTGCAGGCATTTGTTTCTTACCTGCAGCAGTCATCCCCATGTTGAGTCATGTTCTTTGTAGCTTCTTTACGAAAGCCCATTAGTGCCCCAACAAAAATTGGGGGGGGGGAAGTTTGTTTGTTTTTTTGGGAAAGTTTTTTGGCGGCTGAGCTGCTTTTGCCTTGCCTAATGTGAAGTTGGAGTGTAGGCTACAGTTAAACGAAAGATTGAAAGATTGTTACTCCTTCAAATTCAGTTAAATATCTGGGCACATAACACTCGATCAGAGTCTAACTGGTGAGAACATTGCAAATTCTGTGATCAAAAAAGCCTGTGCTAGATTGCAATTTCTTTAAAGACATACTCACTGTTTGAATGAGAGATCCCGCAAAACACTCTGTTCTGCTCTCATACAATGTCATTTTGACTATTGTTGTTCATCCTGGTGTGGAGGGGGGGTGAGCTACGGCGGGAACAGTTGACGGGTAGTAAATGATGGTGATGAGGCTAGGACTACTACAGGAAGCAGGGGTGCTGATGGATTTGGGATGAGGAAGGAAGAGAGTCAGGAGGCGGTATAATTCTGAACTGTCCCTTTAATTTCCCTCCACTATGGGTTCTGAGTTGGCAGATTTTGTAGGACGCAACCATGCATGTGTCACAAGTCCCTTGGCGATTTTGACCGCGGACTCTGCTTTTCCGTTGGATTTGGAGTGGTAGGGGCTTGAGGTAGTGTGTTCAAAGTCCCAGTCATTCGCGAACTGAGTGAACTCGCATGACACGTAGTTTGGTCCGTTGTCTGTGATCAAGGTGTGAGGAATGCCGTGGGTGGCAAACACTGGCTTCAGTTCCTTGATTAGCGACTTGGAAGTCATGTCTTCCAGGGCGCGCACGTCGATGTAGTCTGAGTAGAGGTCTACTAGTACACAGTAGTTTTGTCCATTGACCTCAAAACAGTCACTCGCGACTAACTGCCACGGTGTTTTGGGTACTGGGTGCGTCATAAGGGGTTCCTTTGGGAGAGCTGGTTGTGACTCCTGGCAGATTGCGCAGCGTTGGACTGCCTCCACCAGTTCTGTGTGCATACGTGGCCAGTACATTATGTCTCGTGCAGTGTTGGTTGTGTACTGCACGCCCATGTGAGATGCATGTGCCCTTGCTGTCATGTCTGCATGGAGAGCTGTTGGGATTACAATACGCGTTCCGCGAAAGATGAGCCCGTTTTGTGTTGACAGCTCATCTCTGTATGGCCAGTATTCCCTGATACACAAGGGAACTTGAGCCTTGTCCCCTGGCCAGCCTGCTTGGATGACCTGCATCAGCGTTTGTAGGGTTTGGTCAGCGAGCGTTGCCTTTTTCACTCTCTGCAGACGCTCGTCTGTGACGAAGATGGTTGGTTCGATGTTCTCCAACTCCATGTTGAGCTTCTGCTCCTGAGTGACGGAGAAGATCAGATAGTCTGGTGTCTGATCTGTGACTTGTCGTGTTGGCAACGATGCTCGCGACAGTGTATCGCTCAAGTACATTCGCGAACCCTGCTTGTACTCTACGTGTAGTGAGTACTTC